TGTGTATGTTTCAGTCTTTTCCAGAGCCACAATCAAATTTAAACAAGGCTCATTTGTATTTGTTATTGCTGTTGTTGTCTTTTATCTTGGTGATGCACCTTATGATGTTTTGTTTCTGTTGTTGTATAAATGCATGCATGCATTATTATTATTATAATATATTTGTATGTATGTATGTATGTATGTATGTATGTATGTATGTATGTATGTATGTATGTATGTATGTATGTATGTATGTATGTATGTATGTATGTATGTATGTATGTATGTATGTATGTATGTATGTATGTATGTATGTATGTATGTATGTATGTATGTATGTATGTATGTATTTTGTATAGGAAGACCTATAAATGAGATTATAATGAAATTATTGCTCGGCATTCGAAAAATGACGTCACCGCTGCTTCTTCAATCACTCAATCAACATTACAATTTATCATTTCCTCTTCATTCATTTCATTCATTCATTCATTCATTCATTCATTCGTTCGTTCGTTCGTTCGTTCGTTCGTTCGTTCGTTCATTTATTCATTCATTCATTTTTAGTCATTTTCTCTTTTTTTATCCGCTCTCTCTCTCTCTCTTTCTTTTTCAGACCATTTTAAATTTTTTTCGAATGAGTTTTAATAAAAACATTCAGGAAATGTTAGGCAGATTTTTGGTATTTTTGGTATATTTACCCAGATACCATCATCATCATCTTCTTCTACATCATCATATCATCATTATCACCACCACCATCATCATCTTTTTCTACATCATTACCATCATCATTACCAGCAGCAACAAAACATCAACATCATCATTACTTATATTTCCCCGCCTATCACTTATTAGCCTCATACGTAGGTCCTACAAATATGCATGATCTTTGTTTGCGTCTGTGTGTGTGTGTGTGTCGGTGTGTGTGTCGGTGTGTGTTTGCATTTGTCGGTGTGTTTGTGTTTGTGTCTGTAAGCGTGTCTGTGTGTGTGTGCGCGCGCGCGTTAGTATGCATGCATATTTATCACCGGTTTGTTGCAGTTTTAATAGCGGGTATAAATCAGGAGTGCCAATTAAGGAAGATAACAATGCAAATAATAATAATAATAATAATAATAATAACAACAACATTTTCTGTATCAGTCTTTGGATTATGAAGAACGATTGATGAAACGATTTTTAAAGAAAAAAAAAATTAATTAACGTAAAAAAAATACTTGAAAGTTTGTGAATTATCGCCCACTTAATACGGGAGCATAGATTACTTGAACTAATTTTTTATTATTTTCTTTTCTTTGTCCAACTTTATGACCAATGGATGGCTGCATAATAAGCCAGCTTTCCATAATGACTAAACCGGGCGGTGCTGATAATGATATGGACGACGACGACGATGATGGCGATGATGATGGCGATGATGATGATGACGATTATTATTATGACGACGATGATGATAATGATGTTTATTATGTTAATGATGATGATGGCAATGATGATTACGATGATGATGATAGTAGTTTTATTTTTGCTTTCATCATCATCATGGTGGTCATCTTGATTTAGTAGTTCTCTAATCATCTGCCCGCTGTAGGGTCAGATGTCAAAATTATTAATTCATTCCTACATGCATAAAAGAAAAAAAAACGATCATTATCATCATCACCATCTTCATTATCATCGTATCATCATCATCATTACTTTTATTATCATCATCCTCATTTTTAGTAATATTGACGCAACTTTCTTCCTGTTTAAATCACGCTGTCATCATCATCATCATCATCATCAACATCATCTTCTTCTTCTTCATCATCTACATCATCTTCATCATCTTCCATATTCCATATGTCTTTATTATCGTTAATCACATTCAAAGTTTTAACTATCATCACCATCATCATAGTCACCGTCATCGCCGTCGTCGAAATCGTCATCATCATTGGCCGGCCGTATCATCACGTGACATATTGAAGGTCACGTGATGTTAGTTCATATACGTCATCGGCGATCAGCGGTGCTACGGCAGATTGATCGATCGCTTGGATTTCTAGGAATTCCATTTTCAATTTTTCTTGTCCATAGAATTACACACACACACACACACACACACACGCACGCACACACACACACACACATAAACATATATCCATATATCATTTGTATATATTGGTTTATATGTTTACAGTATAGTGATACTACGTTGCGAATAGAGTTTTAAAAACTGTCTACTGAGATTTTTTTATATTTTATAACAATAAAAGTGTATATGTATATATATATATATAGTATTAATATCAGTAGTAGTAGTAGTAGTAACTGTAGTAGTAGTAATTGTAGAAGTAGTAATAATAGTGGCAGCAGCAGCATTGATGGTAGTAGTAGTAGTAGTAGCAGTAGTAGTAGCAGTAGTAGTAGCAGTAGTAGTAGTAGTAGTAGTAGTAGTAGTAGTAGTAGTAGTAGTAGTAGTAGTAGTAGTAGTAGTAGTGTTGAGTCTTGTCATTATCGCCATTAATTTAATTAGCAGTATTTGAATCAATCTTTCTGAAAGTAATATTCAATAATTTATTTAAAAAACAAACAAATCTTTGATTATATATATATATATATAATATATAGAATATATATATTATATATATTATATAAATATACGTATATATATATATACATATATAGAAACATTTATGTTTTATGTTCACAATATCAAAAGCTTAATGCATCAAAAAAACGTTTAAAAGTAACTAGATTTTTAAAATAATAATAATAATAGTAATAATGATAATAATAGTAATAATGATAATAATAGTAATAATAATAAACATCATCATCATAATCGTCGTCGTCGTCATCACCATCATCATAATAAACAGTTATGAACAGTTAAATTTTCACCTATTAATCTAATTCAATCTTTTTTTTATTTACAAATTTATTGATTACAATAATAATAATAAAATAACAATAATAATACTTTTAGTTAATAACTTAATTGGTAATAAATTAATTGTTAAAACAATGTTATATTAACATGATAAATGCAAATATTCACATCTGGAATGTGTCACAAAATGAAATTTCTAATCAAATTTATCATTCATTTATAAGCTTATCCGTTTGTGTTCATTCGTTCGTTCGTTCGTTCACTCATTTATTCGATCAATCATTCATTCAATCCAATTTTTATATTTTTATACATACATATAAAAGTTTCAAAGGGTAATTAACGATTTGAAAATTTGTAAAATCAAAAATCGGAAATATCCCAACAAATTAAATATAACATTAACGATGTTAATGAGGCTAATAATAAAAATAACAAAAATAATAATATTATTATAGTAATTATAATTATGCGTCGTTATTATTACTAATTTATGCTGGACCCCTCAAAAAACTCCGGAAGTCGAGTTTCAAATTCTCCGCGGTTGTTGGGCGAAGAGGACGCCCTGATAGGTGATTCCATTTATTTCTATACTGACCAGCATGGATCCTAGACCATCCAAGCGACCATTTGCTGGATGGATTGTTTGGTGGTGATGATGACTACGGGATGATATTGAAATGATGATGGAGTGGTGATGAGGATGATGATGATGAGGATGTTGATGATAATAAGGATGATGATGAGGATGATGATGATGGTGAATATGATGATGATGAGGATGATGATGATGACGTGATGATGGAGTGGTGATGGTAGATTGGAGTAGCTATGATGATGTTAGCCACACGGCAATGACAGTAATCATGAACCTGGTGATGTTATCAGTCTAGCTAGATGAGGACTGAATCGATGTCTGAAATAGCGAAGAAGTTAAGAAAAATTTCACTCACAAGTCATTTTGATGTTCGCGTGGTTCATCGACAGCTGCTGCACGAATCTCGCTTCCTCCATGAACATCGGCCTCTTTGCAGCGCCACCAGTACTGCCACTACCACCACTGCCAAGTCCACCGCTGCCGTTTGGTGTCGATGACGACTCGAACTTTCCTGGTGGCTGTGGTGGCTGCGGTAGAGAAATTTGCGGTGGTAGCGGTAGATGTGGTAGCTGCAGGGGTAGGTGATGCTGGGGAGTGCCTACAAAGAGTGGTGGAGGTGGCTGATGTGAAAGGCTAAGTGGTAGGGTGTGGTTGTGAGGGTTCAGTTCTGGAGGAGTGAGGAAGACTGATTTGGAGAGACACATGCCGTTGTTGTTGTGAGAGAGGTTGTTGTTGTTGTTGTTCGTGTTGTTGTTGGGACCTCCTGGATTGTTCATTGATCTGTTCAGTTCTTCCATCCTTTTGCTTGCCTGTGTGTATTGGGCGGTGCAAAGTTGCATGAAACGTTTCAATTTCTAGTTTTTTTAATTTATTTTTGATTAAATTATAAGTGGTGTCTATAGCAAACATGGAATAACACTGAACTGCAACACGTCAAACCTCTTCCATGGCGCGAGTAGCGGCTTCCATGGCTCTGGCGTCGTGTTCGGCGAAACTTCTGAGAGCCAGAGGAAGATGAAGATGATGGCGAGTTGGTGGGAGTAGGTGTGGGTGGTCTTCGTCTGTTTTGGCGGCGAGTTATTAAAATTTGAGTGAAAATTTTTTGTAAGAACGATGCCGTAGAGATTACTACACTGCCTGAAGGTTTGGAAAAACAATGTGACTCAAAAATCAACAACATTACTCATCACTATCATTATTATTATTAACAACAAGACGATTATCATCAACAACGACAAAGATATAGAACATCAACGTAAAACAACAACAACGCAATTACAACAAACCACAACACCAACAACAACAACAACACAATTACAACGAACAACAACAACAACACAATAACAACGAACAACAATGACAGCATACAACACCAACATACAACAATACAAACATTTTAAATTAAAAATCCGACTAACATCCACCTTTACCAGAAAACCCGGTCGGGGGTCTCATAATGGGTCTCAGGGGCGTGCCACTGAGGGGGTGGTGAGGATTTGGGGGGGTGTGCAGGATTGTGGGGATGGGGGAAAAGTCGTATCCGTAGCCTGGTCGGCGTCCTTCCCGCCTGTTCCCGTCGATGGCGGATTGGAGTTCAGAGAGGGTACTCAGTTTCATCTTCTCGCACTCGAATGGGTACAAGTACTTCATGTACCTATGATGGCGATGGTGATTTGCGTGGAAGACAAAAGTAAAATGATGGAGAAACTGGAGATGATTACGAAAATTTGAAAAAATGAAAGTTTCTAGTTGCTGTCGAATTATTTGTTGTACATTATTTCAATTGTACATTAAGTGACGTTGTTGGTTTGGCGTGATTTCGAATGAGGTAGATATTAAATGACAACACGGCTGCCACGTATTATGGAGAATTTCGCATCATTCGTGATGTAATAATTAATATGAAATGTTTAGAAGTTTAAAATATAATTAAATGAATAAATTAATTAGTTAATTAATTACGTCAAAAAAATATTATTATTTTCATGAAAAAATATTCAAAGACAAACAGATGAAACAAAAATTGAAACAAAAACCAGAAAAACTCAAACAAATAAGAAGACGAACAAAGTAAAACACACGCAAACACACACACACTCCAATCCAGTCGACTGGACCAGCAACATGGAAACATACATTACGTGACCTCTGAGGTCAAAAGGTCACGAACCATATGTTTGCAGTTCATCGACATCGCAGTAGTACTGTAGTACTCATCATCGTTGTCGTCATCGTCATTTGTGTATGTGTGTGTATGTGTGTGTGTGTGTGTGTGTGTGTGTGTATGTGTGTGTGTGTGTATGTGTATGCGTGTGTGTATGCGTGTGTGTTATCAGAACATTTATAAAGCGTTTTTTAAAATGGTTTTTAATTACTTGAAGGAAAATTTTAGAAAAAAAGAAGTAGAAAGAAAGGAAGGAAAAAAAGAATATAATTGTTATCTTGAAAATTACAAAAGATAAATTTTCAAACGAATTATCGTGGCTTATTCTGTATCTTTGTTAATCCATGTCGCTCATTCGCTCATTTATACTTCCGTTTCCGCTTTTATTTTCACTAACGTCATCATCATTTTTGTAGGAGTATGTATATGCCGTATAACATTTCCATATTCTTCATTTCTTGCTGCATCTCGTTCTCTCTCTCTCTTCATTTCCTGCTGTATCTCGTTCTCTCTCTCTCTCTCTCTCTCTCTCTCTCTCTCTCTCTCTCTCTCTCTCTCTCTCTATTTGACTCTCTTAACCGTATATACGCAATTATCCAAAAAATGTACACACCGCACACACAACAAACTATTTACTTATATGAAGGTTGTGCACGTTTTACATGTGCACACAATGCACGCACACAAACACACACGCACACAAACATCTATACACACACACGCACACACAGACACACACACACAGACACACACGGAAAAGTAGATTTGCGCATGACAAGCGCAGACGACTCGTCGTAAAGATTGTCTCCTCCCTAGCATGCAAACATGGAGACAACGGGATCGGCCACTGGATTAAAAGTGAATTACAAAGATAATTAACTTCTACCAAGAAATGACCGACCTATGGTCATCAATTGTCGTCATGATGACGATGATGATGAGGACGATGATGAAGATGATGGGGACGATGATGAAGATGATGAGGACGATGATGAAGATGATGGGGACGATGATGAAGATGATGAGGACGATGATGACGATGATGATGATGATGACGATGATGATGACGACGACGAGAAAGACGATGATGATAAACAATGACCGTCATAATGATAACGACAATGACAATGTTGTAATTATGTTATTTATATCATATTAAGATATCATCACTATGATAATGATGATGATGATATTGCTGTTATGAAGTGACGCTAATGATATGTATCACATTAGGATACCATCATTATAATAATGATGATATGACAATGCTGAAGTGATTTTAATGATGTATATCATATTAGGATACCACTAGTACGATGCGGATGATATGGCAATGCTGAAGGGATGTTAATGTTATATATTTTATTTAGGATACCATCATTATGATATGTGAAATGATGTTAATATATCACATTAGGATATGTGAAATGATGTTAATATATCACATTAGGATACTATCACAAAGGATGACATGACAATTTGAGATGATATTAATGATATATATCACCCTACGATGTAATGATATGAGAAGATATGATAATTTATTACAGCCAAAACTGTTGCGAAAATTGTGGCATCACTGATTTAGGATAATGATGTGATTATAAATATGATTAAGGTCTAGAATTTGTAACGGCGATGATGATGACATAAGGACATAATGATGAAGAAGATGACAATAATATAATAAAACATACACGTACACACGCACGCACACACACACACACGCACGCACACACACACACCCACATGCACGTATGCACACAGAATAACATGAACGAATTTGTAAAAATTTGACAAATAACGAAAGCTGTAATAATGCTAATACAAAAAATGCGACAGTTTCGATGATTAAGACGATGATGATGATGAAGACGATGATGATGATGAAGACGGTGAGGATGACAATGACGATGATTACAATACATCATATATAAATAGTCCTCTATAAAGAGAGGGAGAGAGAGAAAGAGAGAGAGAAAGAGAGAGAGAGAGAGAGAAAGAGAGAGAGAGAGAGAGAGAGAGAGAGAGAGAGGGAGAGATTTATGGCAAAAAATTATTCTTAGAAAAACCTTCGTAATAATGCCAAATATAAACAATACTATCTACATTATTTATGAACATTTTAACGAAAATTTACTAAATACTATGAAATACTACTGTGCTACTACTACTACTGCTGCTGCTGCTGCTGCCGCTACTGCTGCTGCTGCTAAAAAAACAACACAAAGTTATTGTCGATAAGAAAAGCTATTAAACAAAGAAAACATTCTTACATTTCAAAAGACATTTACAATGTTACTACTACTACTACTGCTACTACTAAGAAGGCTATTACTACAACAACAACAACTACTACTACTACCACTACTACTACACTACTACTTCTACTACTACTACTACCTACCTATCTACTACTACTACTACCACTGCAGCTACAGCAGCAACAACAAACGCACCGACAACAACAACATCAACAACAAGTCACGCAGTCAACAAATCAGCCAATCAAGCCATATTCAATTGATCCCTAAAGATTAATAAATTCCTTTGTTATACTGGCGTTGATAATTAGTCCTTCGTGTTTCTGTGCGCGCCTGTGCGCGCGTGTGCGTGTATGTATGTATGTATGTGTGTGTGTATGTGTGTGTGTATGTATGTATGTGTGGGTGTATATACATTGTATATATACGATTGATATACATTGATTTATGGGAATGAATATACATATACGTGTGTTTAAGCGAAATCATCATCTTTGTCTGAAATATCTATGTCACATCATTGACAAACAACATAATCAGCAATAGCAACAACATCAACAGATTACATCAACAACAACATCAACAAACTACAACAACAACAATATCAACAAACTACACCAACAAAAAACCTCATCATCAACAACAACAACAAAACCAACATTAAAAACAAAGCATCACCAAACTGCTTCAACAACATCAACATCAACAATATCAACAACAACAACACCATCTACAACATCATCAACAACAACAACATCAACTCACTGGGTTCTTAGAGTGAAAGCAGCGCTCGTGATTGATGATGGTAAATTGAGACCTTTCGAATAAATTCATTATTCCTCAGTTTTTAAATTAATTCATTTATTAAACATTTCTAAGAATAAAAACAAAAATCAATTTCTGTATATTGTATTTTATTTAAAGGAGGATAACAATAAAAATAGAAATACTAACAAACAAAACCTTATACAAAAACATCACATGTACTTGTACATACTTCGAAATAAATATCTATTACATACAATACACACAAAATACATCCACAATACGTACAAAATACATTCAATACATGCAAAATACTTGCAAAAACATACAAAATACATAGAAAAACATACAAAACCAACCCTTAGTAATTTCTCTCCAAAGTTTTTTATTGATAACTTCAACCAGACCGCCCTTCGATACGACCAACCTGAACAGCTCGTACAAATCCAGCGTCTGCTTGGCCATGATTGGGATACGATTTACCGGAGTGCCTTTGGGAAAATTTTTTGTTTTTTGTTGGAATTATATTTTTTTTATAAAATAAATTTTTATTTAGGAATTGTGTGAATGTATGTACTTTTTTTTTATTCAAGTAGTAGTAGTAACAGTTCTATACGTGTGTGTGTGTTTGTTGGTATTTGTTTGTATATTTGACTGTAACAGGATGAATTTCTTGACATTTAATAAAAAGCACTGTTCATGAATGTCGTTTAAATTTGACAAATACAGAAGAACTGTTTAAAATCTTTGCTATGTGTATATGATATATGTATGTATATTGATCGTTGATGAATTTTATCATGTATCAAAGGTTTGTTTTCTATAATGCGATAGCCAAAAATGTCAATACCATGCTATACAAGAAATGAAGCATCACATACAGAACACATAACTCGCTGTGACAAACAATATGATACATAAAAAAACATACAAGATATAAAAGTACAATACCATCGCCGAGCCAGCATATAAACACATACAAACAAACAAACAAACAAACATACAAAACATACATAAACAACGGACCAACAACATTAACATACAAAAAGTGCTATCGTAAAATTCGGTAAGCAAACCTATAAAACCCATGATACATGAAGGAAATACATACAAATGCATACACTACATGCACATGAACTATTTATTCACACGCACAAACACACACACACACACAAGCATAGACACACACACACAAACACACACACAGACATACAAGCACACACTCACATACACGTACACGCACACATACAAACACGCACACACACACATACAAACACACACATACAAGCACACACACACATACATCTGCAATGACGCATCGTAGAATCATTCAGTAAGGTCCACGTCCAGCTTAATCAACAGAAATCAGACTGCATGACTTGAATATGTTAAGGTCAATTCGTATTACTGCATATCCATCCATTCCATTCCTTTATAGTTTTTCTTTCTCTCTCTCTTTCTAATTCTCTTTCTTTCTTTCTTTCTTTCTCGCTTTCCCTCTCTCCCTCTATATCATCTTTTTTTCCTTTGTTGTGGTTTTTTTATACATTTTTTAAATTCATATTTTCATCACAGTCGGTTGTTTTTGATTTAACATTTAATTATTTGCAACTTTCGTCAATCACGTTACTGTCCAAAATACATTAAAACAAACAACAACAACAGCAACAACATTTGCAGTAGCGACAACAGCAGCCACAACATTTGCAGCAGCAGCAACAGCAACTGCAACACCAGCAACATCCATCCCTCACTCAATTTATTCATTCATTTGTCTGCCTCGCCTGGCCTATTAAAGTTGAAATTACATCACACCGAACCATATATATCTATCTTTATTTGCTGTTGTTTTTTGTTTGTTTGTCTGTTGTTGTTGCTTTAGCTGTTGTTGGCTTACATATGTGTGTTTGTATCTTTTGTTGTTGGTTGTGAAGTTTTGTTGTCGTTAATGTTGATGTTGTTAGCGTTTGATATTTCCGAGCTTTTGGGTTGTTGTTGTTGTGTTTGTGTGTGTATGTGTGTGTGATGGTATTTCTGGTTATTTGTTTATTACACTGTTGTTTTTCCGAAAAATTTTATTGTTATTTAATGCTTTTCAGTTTATGCCCTGTTGACATGCCTGTGTTAATATCATGCCTTTGTATGTTGATAATGTATCAAATGCATTTAGCTATATTTACTTGGCTTTTGTTTTATGTCATTATCTTATTTAAGCACAATCTTCAACTAAAAATTTTCTCTTTTTGTTTTCTTAATTCAAAGTTTATCCACTATGACTACTGTTACATTTCTAATAGCTTAAATAAGATTACTACCACTACTATAATTACTATAGCTGATTATTGAAACTTCGGTTAGCCAATCATTTCGTTGAAATCTCAGAACAATATCGTTGATTAATATCATTAGCGAAAAATGTCTTTTGGCCATCATAGCTTTTGAAACATCTGACTCCGAGCAAGAGGTTGAATGTCGTTTGGGTAAAAATTGACTTTATAGACATGAATTGTCTACAGTTTTTTTAATAGCTTGTTTTTCAATCTAAAAAATTAATTTCTTTTTTGAAAATTGAGGGTTTTTTGGTCTTCTGCTTCGACCGAATAGTCAAACTATTCAACTATTCGCTACATTCATCATTCGGTGTATATCTCTAGATTTTACCAGTTACCAGTTCAAATACTACTACTACTTCTAATTATTATGCTGCAAGTATTACATCTAATGCAACTGCTGCTGCTGCAGTTACGTTCTTCATCTGCAATTTTAATTAGTACCAATGTGCTCGATGGGTACTACTATTACTATAACTAGAACTGTTACTACTATTACTACTACTACTACTACTACTACTACTACTACTACCACTACTACTTCAACTACTACTATTATTACAATTCTTACTACTACTACTACTATTGCTACTACTACTACTATTACTAAAATTTGTACTACTAATACTATTACTATTATTACTACAATTGCTGCTACTACTATTACTACAATTACTACTACTACTACTACTACTACTATCGCTATCAAAATTCAGAGCTCATGTTATTGAGATTTATGTGGGTGTCTCTGTGGACAATGTAATGTGTAGGACGAGGTAGTATGTTTGTCTGTTTTTTTGGGTGTATGTAAGTGTGAGTATGTGTGAATATACGTATGTTTGTATATATTTATATATGTATGTGTGTGTGCCTGTTTGTATGTTTTGATGTTTGTATTCGTGTATATATTTGTATTTTCAATTCTTTTGTATTTTTAAACATACGATATGTTTCCTTCCAATGTAAATAATAACGGATGCACTTCAGAAAGCTATACTCCGAGATGTATGTCTTGCTAGGTGCATACTTTCTAAAGATCAGAAGCAAGACTAGTTGTATCTATTTGTGATATGTGATGATGATAACATAACAAGCTCTTTGAATGAAGTTCTCCCAACTTCTCCCTCCCTCTCTCTCTTTCTCTCTCTATCTCGCTCACTTGCTTCAAAGTTTATAAACTTTCAAACTTTTATTGAAACGAAGCGAAAATTAAGTGCGGACACAAGTGCTTACAACAACTACAACAGCAAAAACAACAACAGCAACAACTATTACTTTTGCTATTTCAAATACAAATAACACTACTCCTGCTGTGGCTGATACTAATTCTACTAACCAAATCCAGTTGTAACAGCTACAGGAGCTACTACTTCTACTACTGTTACTACTACTGCTACTACTACGACTACTGCTGCAACTGCAACGATCCAAAGAACAAAATCCCGAATTTAAAGCTGAAACATAGCAACAATAGAACTGAATAGCACGAATAATGCTGAAACTTTCATTTCTAAGATAGATAACGCCAAATTCGAAAGAGGCGTTTTGTTTTTTGAAATGTTTTAGATATTTTGCAAAAAAAGTAATTTATAATATCATTCAACACCGACATTAACATAGTTTCGTGTGGGAATATATAGAAAGGTGTAGACAGTAGCTGCCTATGTAAGTAAGGTAATATCAATATCGTTAACAATAAATTTTTTATATAACTCGTTTGATTCAAATTGAGAATTGATTAATTCAACTTTTTCATAATTTTATTTAGCTATATGTTATTTGTTTGACGTTTTTAAACATTCACTTGAACAAATTTTAAGGAACAACTAATAAGGACAACAATATCGTGACATTCAAAACAGCAACCCATCCTTATGAAAAATATCATCAACATTAACATCATCCTCAACAACAACAACGAAAACAACAACAACAACAAATACAGTAGCAATAACAACAACAGCAGCAGCAACAGTTGTATCAGTGACAAGAGCGTCACGTGATAATTGTCTGATGACGTCACTTCCGACGACCTCAATAAATCTTTACATCAAAACATAACGCTTGTCTCCATGATGGAAAGTCCATTTAACTTCATTCATTCATTTTTTCCTCTCATTAACATTTCTTCATTCATTCATTTATTCATTAATTCTTTCATTCTCTCTTTCATTCATTCGTTCTTATTTTACTTTATTAATTTTTTATCACGTTTCAAAAAGTATATTTGATATTATTCGCGGCGTGCGTACGTATGTTGGTGGGTATGTTTGTGTGTGTGTGTGTGCGTGTGTATGTGTGTGTGCGTGTGTACGTGAGTGTGTGCGTGTACGCCTTTGTTTGTTCGTGAATGGAGACATCACGAATTCCTTGGTATAACTAATATTTCAATTTCCGTCTTTCTCTTTATGGAAAATTCTGTAGACGATGTTGTGTGTGTATGTGTGTGTGTGTGCGTGTGTGTGACGCCGGCGTGGTAGGTTTGTTAGTCTGCTGGTGCTTTTTTCATGATTCTGCCTCTGAAATCATTATAGAATGTGCTGTATTTCTATGCGTCTGTGTGCGTATGCGAGTGCTTGTTTTTGTGCGTCTGTTTGTATATGTGTGTATGATGTGGATGTTTGTATGTATGAATGTGTGTACCCTATATTCTCCTATACACATATGTATATATATATACCCACAAACACACACACACAAACACACACAAACACACACACACATACACACAATGGGATGGTTTGAAGGTGTGTGTGCACTTGTGCCATTTATCATGTCATGTTTTTTTTCCTCTCTGTTAACTAAGAAATGGCGAAAATTTATTTTAAATGAAAATCAGAAGACTTTCTTATGAATGTATAAAAATTATGAAAACTGTGATTAATATTTTCAATTACTAATAATATTAATTGTCATTAATCGGTAATAATATTTATAATAATATTTATAAATAATAAAAATAATATTTAATAATATTAATAAATATTATAATAATAATAATAAATAATAAAAAAGTAATATACAATGTAATGTCCTATCAGCAATTGTCTGATCGAAACTGATGACCCGATGATAAACAAAAATAATGTTTCGGTAATTATGATGGTAATAAGAATAAGATATCGTTGATATCAGGATACAGATGATATCAGGATAACGAT